TTTTTCGACGGCGCCACGCACCGTCTTATCATTAAGTTCATTGAATAAGCGCTTGTACTTGGCCGTCATTTTTACTGTGCAAAATTTTTACTGTACTGTGGTGCCGAGAGTACCAGCGATCTTGTTTAAAAATTTTTCCTGACAATATATTTTTTATCAAAGTAATGAAATTTCTGTGGTATCAGGAGTCTCATTCAGTCCAGCAGCTCTTGATGGGTCGAAATGTTTCATCAACATTAGCTTTAGCATACTTACTTTTCTGCTGTTTTATATATTATTATGGTAATCAAAATCATTCGTTTTGACACTTTGGTCAGCTGACAGTGTTTTGCACTTTTTCATCATTACGCAGTTAGGCAACTTCTCCAATCTTCTCAATGGTTCTGGCACACAAGCCTTCAAAAAAAATCCCCTTGTGGTCTCATTTTTGGCTTTGTTTGTTCCTGTTAATTATTCCCTTTTCTTAAATGCCTATTATGTAACTTAAGCATTTCACACCAAATGTTGCATTCATTTCTGTGCTTTCGTTTAAATATGTTTTTTTTTTTTGCATTTTTATCTTCTACTCTTTGCAGGTACTGCGTTATGATGGGTGAGGAGAATGGCCTGCAAAATCTGAGCGAACACATCACATCCAAGGATCCGTGCGCTGACTTTTCATTGCCCGGTGCTTCCTCATCGAGTTTCTTGCCAACCCGTCGAAAGAGGCGACATGGTCGATCCAGTAAAACACAAAGAAGCGATACGGCACAGCACGATAAAGAGGATGGTTGCGTCATACGGATGGATGAGTTCGATCATTTTGGTTTGTTTAGTTCATAAACTCTCGATTTTTTTAGTGTGTTCAGGCGTGAGCGTTTATTTTTCAGTTTACAGAAGTGAAACTTTTTCGGTTTTTTTTTGGCCGTTAAAAAACGTTTTGTGCCGGCAAGCCGTGCTCCGATATCTTTATCTAACGTTTGCCGCTTTCCAACACGATGAGGTGTTTAGATCAGTAATCGTTTTAAAAAAAATTAGTAATTAAGATTAAAAATTAGTAAAAATTAGTAAAATTAGTAATTAGTAAAAATTAGTAAGATTTAAGTATTAGTAAGGGTTAAGATTTAAGTAGGATTTAAGTAAGTAAGATTTAAGATTTAGTAAGATAAAAAAAATTAGTAAGAATTAAGATTTACAATAAAACCGAAGATTACAGTCATATTGTCTGCGAAATGCCAAGCATTTTTTCAGTGCACCGACATCTGCTGTTCGCGCGCTTAAAGGCATGCGATTAAACACTAACTGAGGATACAATAAATACAAAATTTGAAGGCTTTATGGGGCAAAGGGCATCAAATGTGGGGGACAAATATAGCATTAGTACTGTCAGGAAGAATTATAATTTAGGGGGGATTTTTACAAGAGCGAAAAACCGAAAAAGTTGGCGCTGTTTTCTTCCTGAATGTCACTTTTTTTTGGAATTTCTTACTACTTTACTCAGCAGCACACCCGAATCACTTTTTTCTCACCTTTTTTGGATTTCCTGTTGCTTTACTTAGCTACACACCCAAATTGCATTTTTTTTCGAAAATTTCATGTTAGAATTTTTTTTTATTTCAAATTAATCAAATTAATCTGTTTAAATTGCTTACTACTTGTCATATTTATGATAAGGATGGCTTCAAAACGGATATGTTTTTTTTCTCGAAAGATGGGTATAATCAAAATGATAAATTTCTGCTTAAAATTCTGGATAGTTTGGCGAAAAATTTTTATACTGTTTTTTTTTTTTTGTTTTGTGATTTTCCTTACAGTTTTGCACAAAATTTCAGCTTTTGTAGTAAGA